CTTTATAGCTCTGGAGCTGTTTCAGGAGCCAGGACAAAAACCAAACATTGATTGATTATATTACCTTAGGAGTTATGTGCCAAGAACTAGGGACAAAGATGCACTCTACTCAGGGCCTTTTTAGACATTTTTTTCCTAACCATGACACACCCTCCCCATTGAAATATTAATAACACAGATATACTGTATATATGTTTACATATTATATATATATATATCTGTGCTTTATACATGAGTAATTTTTTTGCCTCCCCCCCAAGAATCAATTTTCACCCCTTTGGGGGCAACAATGCCCCATTAAGAATGCATACCTTAGTTTATGAAACAAGACATTGGTAGACCCAAGAATATAAAACTAGGTTACTATGAGATAACCCAGAAGTTATGTCTTATATTAGGAAGACTTTCAAATCTCTTTCTAAAATAATAATTTGTCTACAATTTTAGTAGTATAATTTTACCTGTTTGCTTTTACAATATGAAATTAAGTAACAAAAACACATTAACTGAGCTTCTTCTGTCTACATAAGAGTTTTAACTCAAATTGAAGAGAATAATCTCTTGAGATGCTAAATAATTTAAAATACACTATCTTTCACTCACAAGTAATGTGTATTTATTACATTAACTATCTGGAGCTTTAAACTTTGGGTTAAGTGCAGAACAATGGAATAGAGGTGGTATCAACACCATTTCAGACAGTCTTTCAAAAGGGATTTATTTTAAATCCAACGAGAATATAACAATTGTAAATATCTATGCACCAACATTGGAGCACCTAAATACATAAAGCAAATATTAACAGACATAAAGGGAGAAACTAACAGTACTACAATAATAGAGGGGGACTTTAGCACCCTGGTTACATTAATGGGTAGATCATCCAGGCAGACAATCAATAAAGAAATGGTGTCTTTGAAAGACACATTAGACCAGATGGATTTAACAGATATATATAAAACACTCCATCCAAAAATGACAGAATACATTCTTTTCAAGTTCACATGGAACATTCTCTAGGATAGATCATATGTTAGGCCACAAAACAAGTCTCAATAAACTTTTTTTTTTTTTAAGATTTTATTTATTTGACGAGAGAGAGACAGCAAGAGAGGGAACACAAGCAGGGGGAGTGGGAGAGGGAGAAGCAGGCTTCCTGCGGAGCTGAGGGAGCCTGATGCGGGGCTGCAGGGAGCCCGACGTGGGGCTCTATCTCAGGACCCTGGGATCATGACCTGAGCCAAAGGCAGATGCTTAATGACTGGAGCCACTCAGGCACCCAAGTCTCAATAAACTTAAGATTGAATATCATGTATCTTTTCTGACCACAACAATATGAAACTAGAAATCGATTACAAGAAAAAAAAGACACTGGAAAAAAATCACAAACATGTAGAAGCTAAAAAACATGCTTACTAAACAGCCAAAGGGTCAATGAAGAAATAATCAAAGAGGAAATTAAAAGAATACATGGAGACAAATAAAAATGAAAACACAATGGTCCAAAATCTTTGGGATGCAGCGAAAGCATCCCTCTAAGCAAAATTTCCCTTAGAGAAATTTATAGCAATACAGGCCTACCTCAAGAAACAAGAGAAATCTCAATCTAACCTTACACACAAAGGAACTAGGAAAAAAAGAACAAATTAAGCCCAAAGGTAGGAGAAGGAAGGAAATAATAAAGATCAGTGCAGGAATAAATGAATTAGGATTCTAAAAAAACAATAGAAAAAAAAAAATCTATGAAACTGAGAGCTGGTTCTTTGAAAAGATTAAAAAAAATTGATAAGCCAGACTTACCAAGAAAAAAAGAGAGGAGACCCATATAAATAAAATCAGAAATGAAAGGGGAAATAACAACTAACACCACAGAAACACAAAGGATTATTAAAAGACTATTATGAAAAATTATATGCCAACAAACTGGACAACCTAGAAAAAGGGATAAATTCCTAGAAATATACAATCTTCCAAAACTGAATCAGGAAGAAATAGAAAATTTGAACAAACCAATTACTTACTAGAAATGAAATTGAATGGGTAATCAAAAAAACTCCCAACAAAGAAAAGTCCAGGACCAGATGGATTAACAGGCAAGTTCTACCAAACATTTAAAGTTAATACCTATTCTCCTCAAACTATTCCAAAAAATAGAAGGGGAAGGAAAGCTTCCGAATACAGAATACATTCTACAAGGCAAGCATTACCCTGATACCAAAACCAGACAAAGACACCACACAAATAGAGAACTATAGGCCAATATCCCTGATGAATATAGATGCAAAAATCCTCAACAAAATATTAGCAAACTGAATTCAACAATACATTAAAAGGATCATTTACCACAATGAAGTGGGATTTATCCCAGGGATGCAAGTTCAATATCTGCAAATCAATCAATGTGATTGACATATACATTAACTAAATGAAAAATAAAAATCATATGATCATCTCAACAGATGCAGAAAAAGCATTTGACAAAATTCAACATCATTCATGATAAAAACTCTCAACAAAGTGGATATAGAGAGAACATACCTCGACATAATAAAGGCTGTATGTGAAAAACCCATAGCTAACATCCTACTCAATGGTGAAAAACTGAGAGCTTTTCATCTAAGATCAGGAACAAGACAAGGATATCCATACACATCACTTTTATTCAATATACTTCTAGAAGTCCTAGCCACAGCAAACAGACAAGAAATAAAAGGCATCCAAATTGGCAAGGAAAAAGTTAAACTGTCACTATCTGCAGATGACATGATCCCATACATAGAAAACCCTAAAGACTCCACTAATAAAACTATCAGAAGTAATAAATGAATCCAGTAAAGTTGCAGGATACAAAATTAATATACAGAAGTTGGTTGCACTTCTCCACACTAAAACAAGTAGCAGACACAGAAATTAAGAAAGAAATTCTATTTATACTTGCACCAAACAAACAAACAAACAAACCTAGGAATAAACTTAACCAAGGAGGTAAAAGGCTTATACTCTGAAAACTATAAAACACTGATGAAAGAAATTAAAGACAACACAAAGAAATGGAAAGATGCTCCATGCCCATGGATTGTAAGAATTAATATTGTTAAAATGTCCATACTACCCAAAGCTACTTATAGATTCAGTACAATCCCTATCAAATTACCATCAGCATTTGTCACAGAACTAGAACAAAATAATCCTAAAATGTATATGGAACCACAAAAGACCCCAAACATCCAAAGAAATCTTGAGAAAGAACAACGCTGTAGGTATCACAACCTCAGATTTCAAGATATACAACAAAGCTGTAGTAATCAAAACAATACGGTACTGGCACAAAAATAAACCCATAGATCAATAGGAAAAAACAGAGAGCCCAGAAATAAAGCCAGGCTCATATGGCCAATTAATCTGCAACAAAGGAGGCAAGACTATACAACGGGGAAAAGACAGTTTCTTCAATAAACGGTGTTGGGAAAACTGGACAGCTACATAAAAAGGAATGAAACTGGACCATTTTTTCAACCATACACAAAAATAAACTCAAAATGGATTAATGACCTGAATGTGAGACCTGAAGCCATAAAACTCCTAGAAGAAAACATAGGCAGTAATCTCTTTGACATTAGCCTTAGCAACATTTTTCTAGATGGGTCTCTTCAGACAAGGGGAAAAAAAGCAAAAATAAACTACTGGGACTACACCAAAATAAAAAGCTTTTGCACAGTAAAGGAAACCACCAAAAAAGAAAAAGGGCAACCTACTAACTGGCAGAAGGTATCTGCAAATGACCTATCTGTAAGGAGTTAATATCCAAAATATGTAATTTACACAACTCAACACCAAAAAAAAAACAAATTATCTGATTGAAAATGGGCAGACATTTTTGCAATCCAACAGATGCATGAAAAGATGCTCAATATCACCAATGCACTAATCAGAGAAATGCAAATCAAAACCACAATGAAATATCACCTTACATCTGTCAGACTGGCTAGAATCAAAAAAACAAAAAAGTGTTGGCTAGGATGTGGAGAAAAGGGAACCCTCGTGTACTGTTGGTGAGAATGTAAACTGGTGCAGCCACTGTGGAAAACAGTATGGAGGTTCCTCAAAAAATTAAAAGTAAAAATACTGTATGATCCAGTAATTCCATTACTGGGTACTTACCCAAAGAATATAAAAGCACTAATTTGAAAAGGTACATGCACCCCCATGTCTACTGCAGCATTACTTACAATAACCAAGATATGGAAGCAACCCAAGTGTCCGCTGACAGATGAATGGATAAAGAAAATGTATGTAAACACAGTGGAATACTTCTCGGCCGTAAAAAAGATAAGATCTTGCCATTTGTGACAACATGAATGGACCTAGAAGGTATTATGCTGAGTGAAACAAGTGAGAAAGAAAAAGACAAACACCATATGATTTCACTTAAATGTGGAATCTAAAAAACAAAACAAACAAAAAGCAAAAACAGACTCGTAAGTAGAGAACAGACTGATGGTCGTGGGGGTATCAGGGCTGGGGGAAATGGGTGAAGAGGAGTGGGAGGTACAGGCTTCCAGTCACGGAATGAATAATCGTGGGGATATGAGGCACAGCACAGAGACTACAGTCAGTGGTCTTGCAATAGTATTGCATGGTGACAGATGGAAGCCACACCTGTGGTGAGCACAGCATGAAGTACAGACTTGTTGAATCACTGTGTTGTACACCTAAGACTGATAACATTGTGTGTCAACTATATTTCAATAAAAACATAAAATTTAAAATAAATTAAAACTCTAAAATTAAATTAAAAGGACTTTTTTTGAAAGGATTTATTTTAAATGCAATAAGCAAAAAAGTCCAAATCTCGGATATGATCACTACTTCCAGTCTGTCTTATTAAAATCTTACTCATGCCAGAACACCTAGGCTGAGGGGGCTCTGTAGGGAATGAACTCATCTGCCTCTGCCAATAATTTCCTATGCAGCATGGGTAAATTATTTAACCACTCTGCATTCATTTCTCTAACCAGCCAATAATGTAAATCAACACACTGTAATGGAAAAACGCACAACAACCCTGGTCAGGAGATCTGCCGTCTGGTCCTACCTTAGCTACTGACTCACTGTGTGAGTATGGCCAAGTCACCCTTCCTCCCTGAGCCCTCACTTTCCCCATCTGTAAAAGGAAGATGTCCCACCAGAAGCATGCATGGAGATTCTACGTCTTAAACGCCTTCACTTGGCTAATCCACGTACACTATCATACCAAATAAACAATGCCCTTTATTAAATTCTACCAAATTCAAGAACATGAGTCAACCCACCCAGTTTAAGACTTGGTAGAAAACAATACTGCATAGAAAAACACTGGGAAGAAAAACATGATTGCTCTCCAAGATATGAGCCTTAAAAGTTCAGGCAAAGTACCTTCCCTACATGAATTAGGTACAACTGCCATTCATGAGAATTCATTGCAGCCCCTTTTGGAACATAATCTATTTTCTGCTTGGATCATCTCTTAGTGTAATGTACTCTATAAACTAGCTCCTGCCATGCTCAATAATGCTTTCATTTTGTCTGAAATCTAAGTTATAATAGCCTGGGATTTGGGAAATCAAGTCTGTATCCACCCTATACATATCCTATACTACAGATGCCAGTTAAATCCCTGCTCAGCTTTGGTTTTTCCAAACTGACTACTTTGGACTACTTGACTCTCCATTCTTCCCATCCCCTTCATTACTTCAGTAGCCCCGAGGGAAATTTTTTTCAATTCCGTTGGAACTTTTCTTCACCTCCTACGAAGACTAGGAAGAAGAGTGATCAAAAGGAAAGCCAGTAACAGCAAGAAACAGGGAAAATACATCATCATCCAGAGAGAAAACTGTCACCATTATTCTCAGCTCTATGACAAGGTAAAGTGAGTGTCCTTTCCCCCCACACTACCAGCATAAAAAGATTCTCTATCTGCTAGTAAGTAACAAAACAGTTCTTTGATTTCTCTACGCAGTGAATTGCTTCTAGGACTATTTCACAAAGTACTGAAGTACCTGCTATTTGAAGCATTTAACCAAAAAGGATGGATGGTCATCTGGCAAAGACACTATCAAAGCCATGCCTATATGGAGAGAAGAGACTAGCTCAAAAGTTCCTTACAGTTTTTAATCCAATGTAGTTGAGAGATCTGTCATCCTATCAACCAACTGGTAATAGAGACAATAAAGTAATTGTCACTGGGAGCCAGGCAAGTATCCTGAGAGGGAGTGTGTAGCATTTGATATGCACTCCCATACCCACGGTGGGTCTCAGCTGAGAATCAATGGATTAAATTACTCCTAAAATCTCCCTAAATATAAAAGTCTACTGATATTTTCACAAAGACTATGGCAGGTGTCTAAAAACTTCGCTACCATCATCCAACAGACACCCCCACCCCCACCATTCTCCCCTCATTTCTTCATAAGTTTAATTACTGGCTCACTGTCATTTTCTCCAATACTATTTCTGCCTGAATTCCTAGCAAGTTCAATAGACATAGAGATGATCCTTCCAAGAATCTCTCAGTTCACTAAATTTCTTTTACCGATGCTGTCCTCTACTCTACTTCGGCCATGCATTCCCAGGCATGCCCTAAGACTTTATCATTACCAATAGCTATAACTGGAAAGGGAAAGAGAAAATCAGTGGGGAGAGGGTCAGTAAAAAGGTGACAGTTTTGAGGTCCCAGTGGAGTTGAAAAATAGTTGGATTGAGGCACTGTAGGAAGGGAGTGTGCTGGAAAATGAGGTAGCGTTCAGAGAATGGGATGGATGAAACTGAGATTATGGAGAGGCTGTAGTCATCGGTGTCACCAGTGAGACCCCACATTGCTAAATCCAGAGGTCAATTCTCAGTTCTCATCTTACTTCACCTATTAGCAGCATTTGGCATAGCTGACCGTTCCTTCCATCTTAATAACACTCTGCTTGATCCTAGGACTCTTGGTTTTTCTACCTTGCTGGTCATTCTTTGTCAGTCTCCTTTGCTGGTTCCTTCTCTTCTCCTGATATTGGAATGTCCCTGGGCTGAGTCCTTGGTCCACTTTATTTACTGCACTTACTCCTTTGGTGATCTCATCCAGGCTCATGGTTTTAAATGCCATGCATTTGCCTCTCTTCTGAAACTCCACACATCTATCCAACGAGCTACTTGACATTTCCACTTGGAAGTCTAGTGCCATCTCAAAGTTAACAGGTCCAAAGCTGAATTACTCATATGTCACCTTGCCCCTCAAAGTCTGCTTCATCTGCAGCTTCTTCATTGTGATTGATGGCAACCTACCCTTCAAATTGCTCAGGTCCAGATCCTGGAATCCTTGACTGCTCTCTTTCTCTCATATCTCATATCCAAACCATCAGGAAATCATGCTAGCTCCACCTCAAAATATATCCAGAATTTGACCTGTTCTTACGTCTTCCATTGCTACCACTGTGATCTGGGCCACCACTCTCTCTCACCTGGAGTATTGCAATGGCCTCCTAAGAGATCTTCCTGGCTCCTCCTCACCTCCATCACCTATTCTTCACCTAGCAGCCAGAGTGATCCTTTTAGACCTAAAGTCAGATCATGTCACTCTTCTACTCAATGACCTGCAACAGCTCCCACCTGACTTGAAGTAAATGTGAAGGTTACTCTGATGGCTTACAAAGCCTTAAATAATCTGGTTCTCCACTTTCTCTGCCCTTCTCGCCTTAGCCACTGTGTGTTCCTGGATATGCTTCAAACACATCAGGTATGCTTTCCCCTTAGGGCCTTTGCTGTAGCTAGCTATTCCCTATGCCTGCTCTGCTCTTCTCCTGGATAGCCACATGGTGAAGCAATTCATCTCCTTCCTCACATCTCGAGCTCTCAAGGAGACCAACCCTGACCACCCGATTTAATACTGCAGTCTATCTGGCATTCTCAACACCCCCCCCCAAACCTGCTTTATTTTTCTTTCCGTATCACTTAACATCTTCTTAACATACTGTGCAATTTATTAATTGTGTTGTCTACTGACTACTGCCTCCCACCAGAATGAAAACTCCACAAGGACAGAAATTTTTGTTCATTTTCTTCACTGATGCATTCCAAGCATGCAGAACAGTGCCTGGCACATGGTAAGACTAAATAAAATTTTTTTAAATGCATGAATAAACACTTGAAACTGGATTTAAATTGTGGACCAGAGAGAGAAGTGTGGTCGACAGAAGAAAAACTCAAATGGCCCAGATACACCTAGGGTCTCAATTACGCTCCTAGACAATTAGCTACTTAAAAAGGCTGTATTATTGTGTCTTCTTCAATTTCTTTCATGAGTGTTCTGTAGTTCCTAGAGTACAGATCCTTTACCTCTTTGGTTAGGTTTATTCCGAGGTATCTTATGGTTTTTGGTGCTATTGTAAATGGAATCGTTTCTCTAATTTCTCTTTCTACAGTTGAAATGGATGAAAGATCTCAATGTGCGACAGGAATCCATCAAAATCCTAGAGGAGAACACAGGCAATAACCTCTTTGACATCGGCCACAGCAACTTCTTTCAAGGTACATCTCCAAAAGCTAGTGAAACAAAAGCAAAAATGAACTTTTGGGACTTCAAGATAAAAAGCTTCTGCACAGCAAAGGAAACAGTCAACAAAACAAGGAGGCAACCCACAGAATGGGAGAAGATATTTGCAAATGACACTACAGATAAAGGGCTGGTATCCAAGATCTATAACAAATTTCTCAAACTCAACACCCCAAAAATGAATAATCAAGTCAAAAAATGGGTAGAAGACATAAACAGACACTTCTCTGAAGAAGACATACAAATGGCTAACAGACACATGAAAAAATGTTCATCATCATTAGCCATCAGGGAAATTCAAATTAAAACCACACTGAGATACCACCTTACACCAGTTAGAATGGCAAAAATGGACAGGGAAAGAAACAAGTGTTGGAGAAGTTGTGGAGAAAGGGGAACTCTCTTACACTGCTGGTGGGAACGCAAGTTGGTAGAGCCACTTTGGAAAACAGTGTGCAGGTTCCTCAAAAAATTAGAAATAGAGCTACCCTATGACCCAGCAATTGCACTACTGGGTATTTACCCCAAAGACACAGATGTAGTGAAAAGAAGGGCCATATGCACCCCAATGTTCACAGCAGCAATGTCCACAATAGCCAAACTGTGGAAAGAGCCAAGATGCCCTTCAACAGATGAATGGATAAAGAAGATGTGGTCCATATATACAATGGAATATTACTCAGCCATCAGAAAGGATGAATACCCAACTTTTACATCAACATGGATGGGACTGGAGGAGATTACGCTAAGTGAAATAAGTCAAGCAGAGAAAGTCAATTGTCCTATGGTTTCACTTATTTGTGGAACATAAGCAGCAGCATGAAGGACATTAGGAGAAGGAAGGGAAAAATGAAGGGGGGGAAATCGGAGGGAGAGATGAACCATGAGAGACTATGGACTCTGAGAAACAAACTGAGGATTTTAGAGGGGAGGGGGGTGGGGGGATGGGTTAGCCTGGTGATGGGTATTAAAGAGGGCGCGTACTGCATGGAGCACTGGGTGTTATACGCAAACAATGAATCATGGATCACCACATCAAAAACTAATGACATATTGTATGGTGACTAACGTAATAAAATAAAATTAAAAAAAAAAAAAAAAAGACACCCTTAAAAAAAAAAAAAAAGGCTGTATTATTTCTTTCAGATCTGCAGGTGGATTATGTAATGCAAATACTGGTGACTTCACCATAATACTAGCCCCTACCAGAAACAGGCGCCGAGGATGGATGAAAGGCCCTGCCCATGATTTTTGCCTTTGCCTCTAGGTGACTCTACACTGGGCAGTCCTGTCTTTTGCCTCCAGCTTTGTAAGTCAGAGGAGTGACTTGCAAACACCACACAATTTAGGAATGGGAGAAAGCAAGTCCATCAGGGCTAATACCAATTTCAGAATGCCTGATATACTCCCGTGGATTAGGCATGGACTCTTACAAGTTAGAACTAGATGACAATCATTTATGTCAGTAGTTTCAGCCAGGGCTGCATATTTGAAATCCTAAGGCACTTAACAATATACTGCAGCTGCCCCTCCCCTCTGAGAGAAACGCTCCGGGTAAGGTCACGTAGCTGTGAGTGACAGTGTTAGGACTGGAAACTGTCACTTGGTTCTTCAGAAAAACAGCAGTAAAGGAGACATTTCATTACAACATAATAATGTGCAAGGCCACATATTACAGCAGTTAAATGCTATTCTTTTTATTAAAGTCATGGCATCTATGTTCACGAACGAGAAATTTTCTTTACTGGCCCCTATCTTCAAGGGCACAAGATCTAAAATCTTGTGTAAACATTTATTCCTTCACTAAAATAACTGGATGAACTTCCAATAAAAAAAAAAAAAGAAAGAAAGAAAGAAAAAAGAATACCTCTAATATCCTTCTCTGTCAACCACCTTTTTGATTTAAACAATTTTTTGGTTTAAAAAACTCAGCAGTGACGGCTGCACAACAATGTGAATGTACTCAATGCCTTAATGGTTAACAGAGTACATTTTATGCTACGTGTATTTAACCTCCATTTTTTAAAAGAAGAGAAAAACAAAAGAAGAAAAAGAGAAAGGAGTGAGGGAGAAAGAGAAGAAGATCTAGAGGAGGAGATGCCCCAAAACCAAATTTAACCAGTTTGAGCACCTGCTGGCAGACATTCACAAAAGCCTGCTGGGAGGAAGGAGCAGTTCCCCAGGTCCTCAGACCACCAGCAAAGCAAGGCTCTGCAAAGAGCACGGGAAGTAGGTCACTCTGGAAGAGTAACATGACCCAGCCCATATCCCCACAGAGCTTGGTCTCTAATCTAAGATGTGGGGCTACACAAGGACGTCCTTGACGCTGCCTAAGACCTGGGTTGTATCCAAATGTCACAGTATTTCCACATCTAGGGCTCCTCCTAGAGAGAAGTTAAGTTTCCTTCATAGCACATAGTTCAGGATCCTCTTAAACATTTAATTAAGCTAATGGCAGTATTTTGGGTTTCTGTTAATCGCAAATCAGTGTCCCAACACTGAAGAAAAAAGAAGGTTAGAGACACTCAGGGCAAAGAGTCAGGAAATACCCACAGTACGCCTCCTTGCTCTGCAATTCTCTTAAGAACACTGTTTAGTGTCTAAAACAAGTAGAACAGCATTTTTTCAGAAAACACCTTTGATCATAATTCCAAAGTAGTAAAGTGTGTTCAGTCCTGCCTCTAAATGTATAGCCATAAATGTAAATTGCAAGGCAGTGCTTCCTGAATGTATGAACTGACGGGGTGGCGGGGGGCAGAGGGGGCAGATTTTTCAAAAAGTGATTGAAGCCAAATAAGCTTCTCTGAAAATAGTTCTCATAAATTTCACAGGCACCACTGAATAGAATTTTATTCCAAATTGATCCAGTTTATGTACCATACCTTAAACATATTTTTACAGTGAAGTTCATGTACAGCAATACCCATAATAAATGCTCAACAAGGATTTGCTCAATGAATGAATGAGACGGACCAAGCCTCAATCTGAGTTTGTTTTGGTAACAGGGAGATGACAACATAGGCTAAAATCTAAATCTAGCAGGGCCTTATTTTAACTGCTACTGTAAAAGAATAAAATCTATCTTTGCAATTCAATGCAACAGACACATTAGATTCCCCCTAGAAAGAATAAAGTGGGGGAGAGGAAGGACAGAAGGGAAGAAAAGGGGAAGGAGTAGCTTACCATACCAGAAGGAGCTTCCCCAAGGATGACATGGGTCGGATCTCAGGCAAGCAAAAGAGCCCCAATCTCACTTAACACTCAAGGGCCAACCAAAAACTGAGATGAAGTATTCTACTTCTATAAAACTGATCTTCCACTTGACTCTTTTATCTCAGGGGGGAGATGGGGTAAGCTCAGTGTAAACAGGACTTTTCTCATTCCTTTCTGTAGTGTTTCACCTACCACGGCATACTTGTTGAGACAGCCAAGTGCTACAAGACAGAAAAAGACCACACAATCGGCAATTCCTAAAGGACTATGTTATGGGATGAACTGTATACCCCACCAAATTCACAGGTGGAAGTTCTAACTCCCAATACCTCAGCATGTTACCTTATTTGGAAATAGAATGATACCTTATTTGCAGGTATAATTAGTTAAGATGAAGTCACACTGAAGTAGGGTGGGCCCTTAATTCAATATGACTACTGTCTTTTATTTTTTTTTTTTAAAGATTTTATTTATTTATTTGTCAGAGAGAGAGAGCACAAGCAGGGGGAGCGGCAGGCAGAGGGAGAAGCAGGCTCCCCGCTGAGCAAGGAGCCCAATGCAGGATTCAATCCCAGGATCCTGGGATCATGACCTGAGCCACCCAGGCGCCCCAGTATGACTATTGTCCTTATACAAAAAAGAAATGTGAACAGACAGGCACATGGGGAGAAGGCCATGTGAAGACTGGAGGTATGCTATCACGAGCCAAAGAACTGCCGGAAGCCAGAAGAGAGAACTAAACAGATCCCTCCCTGGCACCTTCAGAGGGAGCACGGCCCTGCGGACACCTTGATTTCACACACCTGACTTCTAGAGCTTGGAGACAATAACTACCACTTGTCCTTCTAAGCTCCCAGTGTGCAGTACTTTGCTCTCGCAGCCTCATTAAACCGATACCAATAGTAAGGGGCTAACGTGCACCAACCAGCCCACCCCCTTCTCACTGCATCTTAGCTCTGGCTTCCCGTCCCATGGCCACTTGCCACCATGTCAGCTCAGGCCCCACTACCTCACTCTCGGGCTGCTGCCTGGTCTCCCTGACTTTAGGTCTACCTGCACACTCACCTGCACACCACCATGACATTAACCTTTGAAAGATGCCAACTTCTTTGCCTCACTCTCTAGGTAAAATAGCTCTAGTGACTCACCAATTCCTATCAGAAAAAGTCGATTCTCCTGCCTAGCATTCACGCCTCTCTCTTCTAAGCTAGCTCCAACTACTAAAGTGACCCTGGGACATACCACCATTATTCTTGATGCCCTGCTTCCTCCCCTGCTTGTCACTCTCCCCCTTCAACTATCCAAATCTTGACCATCCCATGGACACTACAGCCAAGACCTGCTTTCACCTTGATGTTCTTTCTATATACTCATGCCCACAGCAACGACCACATCTCTGACCTCTATGTGTTTACTACTTGCATCTGTCTTTCTGCACTCATCAAAGACTGCCTTGCATGGTTACCTAGCATGTTAAAAGGGCACACTTTGATTCCATAGCTGGACTATGAGCTCCTTAGGGATAGGGTTCATGTTTTACAATTCTAGGGGTATTTCTCAAACCCAAAGACAATGCTAGGTTTATTTTTTCTTAAAGATTTTATTTATTTCAGAGAGAGAGAGACAGAGAGTACAAGCATGAGCAGTGGGCGGGGGGGGGGGGGGGGAGTTGGATAGAGGGAGAAGCAGACTCCTCACTGAGTAGAGAGCCCAATGCAGGACTCAGTCCCAGGACCCCAGGATCACGACCCAAGACGAAGGCAGATGCTTAACTGACTGAGCCATCCAGGCGCCCCATGACAATGCTAGGCTTATTATAAGCAAGCACTAAGTTCCTGAATTCTTACTGAATTAACTATTAAACATACATTATAAATTCTTAGAAATGTTACTTTTGGCTCTTCCTTCAGCTAGGAACTTAAAATTGAACAAATCTATAGATTTTATATCAGCCTAATGGTTCCACAGATATACAAATAATTTAAAACCTACAAGGAACGGGAAAAAAAAATTCTTAGGATTTTTAGTCCCAAGTTACTTACCATTCTTCATCACTACATTGGACCACACATTTGCATTCAAGGCTTGAACGATTCGCTTTACTCCTGTAGATTCTGGGAAGTCATCTAATCAGAGAGGGGAAACAGATATATTATACACACATTTATACACATATACATATATATGTGTATGTATGTATATCCCCCAAGCCATACTTTTAAATAACTGTGGCTTAGTTATCTTACGTATTTAGTTGGTACTTCACATTGTAACTTACTTAGTAAAGAAAAAAATACAGAGCTCAGAGCTCTTGATAAGTATATCCTAGCAAGTAAAACAATGAAATAAATGCACTTTATAAAAGGTTTCTATGATAAAGTCATCTCTATCACCTCACCGACGGAATCTACTCATACTCTCCTGAAAATGTTAGTTCCTGTTAATTACACAATCCTGGCATAGCATTGGAAACACCAATTCTGGCTATTTATGGAGAATGAGTTTCCCGAAGGCAAGAATTGTCCTCTTGGTATGCCATAAAATGCTGTAAATGCCCTACTTTCTTCTGGGAATCATAAAATAACAATTATTGTTTAAAACAGGTATTCAGAGAACAATTTCTTGATTAGAGGAAGATAGTTTAAGAGAAGTAAAATTACTATAACCATAGGTGTAGAGACAGGCAAGGGTCATTAAAAATAAAAACCAACAACTTAGTTTGGCTGGGTTAGTATTGGTACTATTTTGCTTCTGGAATTGAACTGATACTACTCAAAATAACAGGGCAGTAATCCCAGTTAGCATACTAATAAGCTGACATTCTTAGTTTGTAGATATGTATACGATGGAAATGAGTGTTATGACTGGATATGGTAAATGATGGCAGAAGTAGTTTTCACGTGGCTGAAGGAGAAAGTCTCCTAAGAGCTTATGGAGCACAATCCACATAGAACCTAGGGGCCTGGCCGGGCACAGAATTAGAAGTCAGAAAATCTGAACTGGAACTCAGGCTCGCTCTCTCTTTTTTTTTTTTTAGTATTTTATTTATCTTACAGAGAGAGAGAGAGAGCTCGAAGAAGCAGGGGGAGCAGCAGAGGGAGAGGGAGAACTCAGGCTCTATTACTTGTTAGCTATTTGATCAAGGGCAAATCATGTATGCTATTCTCAAAGAAAAGTGGGGCTGACGCCACTCTGCACACCTCTCCAGAGGAAAGAGGCGCTGGAACTGCCGATTTGCTGATGAAACCGCCCCCTCCAGGTGGGACTCACCGCCTAACACGGTGCCCAAGGGACAGCAGACACTCAGTACTGACTGAGGTGTGGATGGATCATCTGAAGAATATCAACCTACCAACCTAACAGAAATATGGCACGGATTAAACTGGAAATACAAAGATGAGTTTTATCACCATCAATGTTTAAATGAAGAAATAAAAGGCATGTTTACCTGAACTATGAGTGATTCAGTTCTTAAAAGGATAACTAACACTTCAGATGACAGAACCAGAAACCAAAAATATGGTCTGAAATAAAGAGCTAGCACCAGTAAGATGAAATCTAATCCAAACAAGCAGAAAGTCTCATACTGGTGTTAGGATACATGCATACAAAGCTTACAGTTTCTTTTTAAGAATTCTGGGGAGGATTTCATTACTTCATCTAAAGATATGTCAAAATCTATTTTAATATTAAGCGGAATTAATGCAAGAACATTGTTCAGACAAGGAGCAAGGAGATGTGTAGTGGTGTAAGGGAGAAGAAACTACAAAATAAAAACAGATTTAAATAAATGACTCAAATGTGCACTCTGCAGGACAACAGGAAGAAGATAAAATTCTAGTGTCAGAAATAAGCAGTTATGTACATGCTCACCTACACAAAACAAGGCCCAAGTTTAGGGGACCTGAAAGATATGGGAAGAGAAATTGTACTTGTTAATTTTCAATTATTATTAAAAATGTACAGGGAGAAAAATCAGCCTTTTTATCCTCTTCTTCTCTGGCAGGGTTTTATTCCCAAAGGTAACATTTTGGAAAAATTCTAAATAAGCCAGAATATAAAAAGAGATTTCTTAATCCCTTTCTTAAAAAAAAAAAAAAATTAGGTTTCATAGAACAATTACTTACACCCTATCTATGTACTTTAATTCAGATTGGTTGTCTCTTAGAATGCCTTTTGCAACAACTGGCATCCTCTCAACGCCACGTCCCTACCGGTCCCCTCACTACAAGCCCAGTGCCTTTCCCACTGCTACCTCATGGAGCAAGTGACATGTGAACAGTTACGATGCCACCACAATCTGGGAATTTCTAAACAGAAATAATCTCTCCCATCTCTGAAATACCACAGCACCAATATATTTTTTTTAAATATTTATGACATTCCACTCAGCAATTCAATTGTTCATGTATCTATTTCTCTCTTGTACTGGACTATAAGGTTTTGGTGGCCCAAAACCTGTCTTCTCTTGGTAGGTCCCACGGCACCTAGCACTGGTGTATACGGAAGGAAAGAAGCTGAGAAGAGGAGTGGAGGAAGAAACAGAAGGTCCAGAGTATCACAGAAGGCAGTTAAGTGAAGAGCTACCCGGGGGTGGGGGGCATTCTGGGTCTATTTTTGGTTCCACATGTCCAGAGGACATAAAAATAGGGCTGATATGCCCCTTAAGGTTCCTGGGAATTCAGCCTCAGGATGTGAGAAATTCAAAATAAGGAACATAAACTTTAACTATTTAGTGTATACATCAAACCCTCTTTTTTTGGCAGCGGACAAAGGATAAGAGATTGAGGAAACAACTAAGATTTAAGGTAGAAATCTTCTACCTTTATCTATAAGAAAAACAAACAATATTTGAAAAGTCCTAACATGTGGTAAAGCCAAAAAAATGGATTAATAGTAAGACCACACCAACGGGTTTTGCACAAATCTCTTCAAACAGATGAGGAAAAAATTTTTTTTGAATTTCACTTGGATTCTTCTTCCCTGGATTAAAATACTCCTTCATATCTGAACCCAAACGCCATGTTTCTCCTGACACATAAATACTTACCATCCTCCTCAGGCAACTCTTCTGGACTAAGTTCTACCAATTCAAAACCATGTTTGATACACCATTCTTGAGCTTTTTGTCGGTTTACACCTAATGTGCAAAAGAATCTTCATAAGTAAAAAATTTTTAAAACAGAATATTGCTGCAATACTCTCCATAAATCTCAGTGTTACCCTTAATGTAAGTTATTCTAAAGGCATCCAAAATAAATATAAAGAAAATGATTTCTCAAACCCAAAGTGTCCATTCTTAAAAAAATAAAGTGTAAATATTGCAAGATTCCAAAGAGAAATAGCTAAAAATACTTCTGTAAAGTAATATAATCACAGAAGACGTACTGTTCTAAGTTAAGAAAACAAAAGTATATTCTGTTTACCAAGGGACAGCAATTGTGTATACCCACCATGGTCCCGTCGGCATGCCTTACCATTTTCACACACTCTGTCACAGACCAGGATCATGACCTCAGGTAACCATGCTTCTGCCAATGGAAGCCATGAGGAAACACCATCAAGACCAGATTTCTAGAGGGAGGAAAAACAAACATACAAACAACCAGAAGAAGAGACCGTAAGAGAACTCATGGAAAAGGCTGGGGGGAGGGGGGACGGGAAGAGAGTACCAAGTAATTTCTTACTCAAGGTCCCTGGCGAACCAAATCTTACTTGTGTGCTGTCGAAGTAAACCACAAATGCTTGGACAGACTCCGCGATTTCTGCAGTGATGAGAAATTTGTTTGGCACCACACACAGATTGATATCTGCTGAATAGTATTTATTATCAATGGTCCAGGGATAAAACCTCACAGCATCATCAGCAGTCACTTCCACAATAAGATCTTCTGTTCCCAGGATATCTAAACAAAGGACACAATGTTACCATGGAAAGTGCAGCACCGATACACACTGGTCAAGTCTCTCAAAAAGATACCAGACTGGGGTGCCTGGGTGGCTCAGCCGGTTGGGCTTCTGACTCTGGTTTCAGCTCAGGTCATTATCACATGGGTCATGGGGTCGAGTCCCACGTCAGGCTCCACATTCAGCGGGGAGTCTGCTTGAAGGTTCTCTCCCTCTGCCCCTCCTACCACTCGCTCTCTTGCTCTTTCTCTCAAATTAATGGGTGAATCTTAAAAAAAAAAAAAAAAAAAAGATTACCAGATTAATATGGTGCTTCACCTACTTCTCTTTGTTAAGGATTTCAAAAGGTCTCCCATTTATCAGGGTATTTTCTTTTCAATCATTTGACTGTAAAAGTAATGGTGACATAATTTAACTCATTGGCTTTTGTTTTTTAAGAACACAAAAACGACTGTGACTAGATTAGATAGAAGACAAAATAGTCATGTAACCAAACACCCAGAAAAGAGCAAGAAGAAGAGAACGAATAACAGCTTACATTTATTTTATTGCTTACATACTTCATGTGAGATGGAAGCTTACAAGAATCTTCAAGAATCTGTAACTATTCTGTCCTTATTGCAAGCTACAAGGAAGGTAGCAGTAAGGCTAAGCCATTAATAAAATAAAAGCTACACATCTTCCTTGGGCCAAATGCTTATACATTAATTCAACTAATGATATAAAAGAATGGATACTGAAAATGACCCCAATTCCATTTATATTCAGCCTTGTTCAGATTCTTTGAAAGCCAACTCCAATTTTTGTTTGATAAGACACTTCTGGCATAATTTAAATACAAAACAGCCAAGCAAATTTAATTATTTAGAATATGCCTAAATCTTTCAGAAACCCATGTGCAGCATGGCTATAACTAACAAAATTCTTACAGTAAAAGCCAAGTCAATGAAGAACAAATAGAGATGAGGTCACGGAACCACTGAAGCAGTCTGCTTCCATAATGCCATAAAATATTCAGAAGTGGAAAAACATTAGAAATTGTTCTAACCTAAACTCCCATCTCTCACATCCATACCCACAACCTCCATTTTACACAGATGTGGAAAGTAAGCTTAGAGAAGTAAAATAACATGCCACTAAAACTGGGTTATTGTAAGAATATATGGTAAAATGGCCACAAACTCCTTTTCGACACAAACAAAGATGAACATAGAAAATATCCCTCCAAATCACAATTAGCAGGACACAGAAAACTAGAAGCTAAACTTTCGATTCCAGAACACTGCCATAGTTTTTGCTCAATAAAAAGATATGGGGAAATTACTTAGTCCAAAAGACTGCTAGGAATAATGTATAATAACATATAAAGTGTGTATGTGACATATGCATGCTTTTCATTGGTAAACTTTGATCATGTGGTTACTAGGAGGAACCAGTCTGAAAACAAAACCCCTTTTTAAAATTAAAATAGAAAACTAAATTTAAAATAGATTTAAGATTACATTTGACATACCGTGTATTGTGAAACTAACTTTCTTAAAATTTTTCACCACAACCACAATTGTTACTTTTTAATTACCATGAGATCTGTGCCCATATTTGAAAATCTGAGTTTATCTTGTCTCTTTAAGAAATCAACAGTTCTTGCTGCTTAATTTCTACCTAAAGTAATCTTTTACTAATTATCAATCAATTCCATAGCAACCAGCTACAGTGTCCTTCATGGAGCATTACGACAAGTTCAGGTAGGAAATAAGCAGGAAGAACAGATAAAGTATGACAACCAAAGATTCTGTTTTCATGTAAATGTCTCATAGGAAAAAGAAAAAAAACCCTCCTAGATCAAAGTCTATGTTGCATTCAAAGCTAGTCTTCCAAACTTCAAGCAGGTGGCAAAGCAATATGCCGATAAAAGCACATATGGTAGAAGGCAAACTAAACCAAGGGAAGTAGCAAAAAATGTATAAACCGATTTTTTTTTTTTAAGGGTAGGAGGAGCCACCAGATGAAATCAGTTTTCTTCATTCATGGGTAATTTTTTAAAATAACAAATTAAATGTTTTTTTTTAAAGTGGGGAAGCACAAACACAAAAGGTAAAATGTGTTAAGGGGCAAAGTACAGGGAGCATGGGACGAGGACTCCTACCATCATCACAACCAGTTCTTGATAGTTCCTAAATTGGTGGCACTGTTAAAAACTGGAAGAAAATTTCAGTTATGCTTTTCTGAAATACTATCTTCAACGAACATGAAAAAATAAAGTCCATGAAGGTGTCATCTACTTACTAGCTGCAATTTAAGATATTTAGATCCATTAAGGGTAGTTGGTTTTATTAATCAATGTGTAGAATACAAGACAACAAACCAATATGTGTTACTCAGAGCTCTTAAAAATTTTATATTGTCTCTGATTTTCAAATGAGGAAGATATTTACTGAACACACAGAAAGAAGCAATTTCTCTTTTCTCTAAACCTAGATGAGAACAGAATCAGTAAGCTGGGAAAACGAATTCCACCTTTTGGTGTTTTTGTAGCTGCGCGTGTGTTTTTTTTCTTACTCCTTGTGCTCCCTAGAATAACTTGATAGCTCAATTTACTTATCAGATTCTTTTATTTTTAAAATTTTATGTCTAATCAGAGACTTTCGGCAAGGCTGTATATGGACTTTATTATCACATCTGTGCCATCTCACAACTAGAGAAGAGTGACTGGTCTCATTCTTCTTGTCATCAATATCATAATGTACATTTTAATTTAAAAAATGTAAATGTCTACACTAAATATAGCTTTTCTCGCTCATCTTTTCTATTTGGTTTCAAACGTCTAACACATTTATTCTTTTCCAGATTAAAATAAAATTGCTCAAATGCTTATGCACATGACTAAGAGTTTCTGGAGATCAGCCAGGATTGTTTACTCATTTCACAGATGGGAACACTGAGGGCCAAAAAAAAAGAAGCCACTTGCCTGAAGGAGAAGAGCCTAAAATGAAATTCAGGTCACCAGCATTTTTTCCTTCTACACCAGTGCTCGTGATGTTTAGCATCTGAGCTAGATTACACTCAAGTGTCCAATGGTCACAAGCCAAAACTAACCTATGGGCCTACAGTATCCCCTGCTCTTTTAGGAAAATCAAAAAGAACAGCCAGAATAAGGGCACCAGAATATACGAGCCAAAACACAATTAACCCATTCAAAAACTGTGTATGGGTTGGGGGTATTTATATGTCCCAAGCTGAGTCATAGTGATCCTGTACGGGTTTTTTGCCAGACTTCCTAGAAAACCCTACAATGTTCTTTTGCCCTTCTTTGCCCTTTCCCAAGCTGACTTTTGATGTAGTCAAAATGATGCACAAGTAAAATCAAGAGCAGCTTCTCCCTCCTCCTGGTGGATGTTGGCCTGTCTCATTGCACTGTTGGCAGCCAGGTGGTGGAGCTGCAATACATCATTTTCTAAGAGACAAATACTAAATGATTAATTGCCAGTCTGTTACCACAAACTTGGTCTCACAGCTTAACATAGTTAATCTGTAACGTTTTCAGATGAGAAGTTAAATGTCAACCCAGTTCCAGTAGCAAGTATAAACCTTTCCCCCGGTTTTAAGTGCAAGTATAAAGCTCTTTCCCTGTTTGAGAAACTGTTATACATAGCCATCAATTCTCCAGCAACTCCTATTTATTTCTCACTTCTTTCATGAACTTATTTCCCCAAGAGTCCCACATGGCAAGTGAGTGACAAGAACAATTCAAGAGAGCTGAAGAAAGCTGCATGCCAAGGAAGCATGTCAGTTCAGCAACCCAACCACTCCTCTGTCTTCACGCCCGCTTCATGCTTCTTCTGTCCGTTGTAATGTTGCCTCCCTCACAGAGTGTAAAACTGGTAAGCAATCACATGGAAGGAGGCATTAGCTTTTTTTAGTTCAGAATCAGTAAGAGGTGATACTCTCCTTGGCGTGAATTAGGAAGCAAACTGAAGTTCCAAGGTGAATTTCCAGAACACTGAAAATATCCATTTTCAATCTCTCTCTCTCACACACACTCTACCCTTACCTTACCCCTCACCTATCCACTCCAACCAAAAAAGACAAAACAAGTCCATTCTATTGTGGTGTGTATGTGTGTGTGTGTGTGTTTTAAGTAGGCTCCACAGGCCCAGTGTAGGGCTTGAACTCACAACCGTGAGATCAAGACCTGAGCTGAGATCAAGAGTCGGCCGCTTAACCGACTGAGGCAGCCCAGGCGCCCCAAAAAAAGTCCATTCTAAATGAAGTGCATTGATACTACTTTGGATTATTCCTATCTTCTTCAGTCATAGAATTAAGGACACTTTTGATACCAGCAGAATTAATGTTCCCCTAACTAATCATGTCATTCTTTGTGAAGAGAAGTTGTCCAGTGGTTAAATCATATTTTCTGTGTCCAGAGGGAAATGAGAGCTGCCACTCCGAATCAAGATGATCCTTCCTTCCGGAGATCAGTACTCGCCCGGTTTTATTCTTTCTCACTGAACTGAAGCTGCCTTTACAGTGAGGTTATCATCACCTCCCACCCTAGATACAAGGGTCTTCCACGGTATCCAGTCTTCTGGGGACCTCCACTCTGTGCTGGCAGTACTAACCGCAACAAAAGAGGCCATAAAACAGAGACAGCTCAGACTTGGGATCAGACAGACCTGCATCTGAACGCTGGCCCTCTTTGAGAACGACAAATTAACCCCTCTGTGTCTCATTTCCTCAGTGGTAAAAGGGGACGGACACACACACACACACACACACACACACACACTTCTCAAATGGCTTCTTGCAGATTAAATGAAATAGTGCGTGAGAAGGTGCAGACAGGCACTGGACACAGAGTAGCCCTCAATAACGTCCCTTTCCTCCTCCCCAGGTCAAGTTTTTGCCTAGGGACAAGAGGCTAGGTCAGAGATGCACTGAGGGGAGCTGGTAAGAGAAAGTGGAATTAGGAAATCGCCACCTCCTTAAGCTGCTCTGGCCC